GTTGCTCCACGGCATGTGGGATTTTCCTGGACCAGGGCTTGAACCCGTGTCCCCTGCATTGGCAGGCAGATTCTTAACCACTGTGCCACCAGGGAAGTCCCTTTTTCTGGTTTCTTAAAGTGGAAGCCTAAATTACTGATTTGAGACCCTTTTTCTTTTTAAATATAAGTATTTGCCACTATAAATTTTCTTCTAAGCACTGCTTTTGCTGTGTCTCACAAATTTTGATATATTTTCCTTTTCATTCAGTTCAAAGTTATTTTTTTATATCCCCTGAGATGTCCTCTTTGATCCATGTATTATTTAGCGGCATGCTGCTTAATGTCTGAATATTGGAACGTTCCAGATATCTTTCCATTATTGATTGCTTTATTTTAATTGCACTATGGGCTGAGATCATAACTGCATATGATTTCTCTTCTTTCACAGTTGTTTAGATTCGTTTTATGGCCAAGAATATGGTTTGCCTTGGCAGGTGTTCCATGTGCACTTGAAAATTATGAGTAGCTTACTGTTTGGTGGAGGGTTGTGTAAATGTCAGTTAGGTTTAGTTGGTTCAGCGTGTTGCTCAGGTCTTCTGTATTCACACTTTCTGTCCACTTGTTCGGTCAGTTACTGAGAGAAGCATGTTGAAGTTTCCAGTGACAATTGTGTGGATTCATCTGTCTCTCCTTTCGATTCTTTCAGTTTTGTTTCACGTATTTTGAGGCTCTATTAGTCACATACACATTTAGGACTGTTATATCTTGGAGAACTGAGCCCCTTATATAACATGTGATGTCCATCTTTGATATTAATATAGCTGCTCAGGTGTTTTTGGTTAATGTCTTTTTCCATCTTTTGCTTTTGACCTATCTGTGTCTTTTAACTTAAATGTGAGTTTCTTATAGATCGCATATAGTTGAGTCTTGCTTTTTCAATCCAAACTTATAGGTGGCATTTTTTTTTTTTTTTTTTTTTGTGGTACGTGGGCCTCTCACTGTTGTGGCCTCTCCCGTTGCGGGGCACAGGCTCCGGACGCGCAGACCCAGCAGCCATGGCTCACGGGCCCAGCCGCTCCACGGCATGTGGGATCTTCCCAGACCGGGGCACGAACCTGTGTTCCCTGCATCGGCAGGCGGACTCTCAACCACTGTGCCACCAGGGAAGCCCTATAGGTGGTATTTTTAGACCAGTCACATTTAATGTGATTATTGATGTAGTTAGATTTAAATCTATCATCTTGCTAGCTGTTTTCTGTTTGTCTTTTTCTTCCTTGAGTTAATTGAACATTTTCTATGATTGCTTTTTATTTCACTATTGATTTATTATTTATACCACTTTTTAAAGTGTTGGTGGTTGACCCAGCATTTACATTCTTAATCGGAGGCCACCTTCAAATAATATTATACTGCTTCACATGTGTGAAGACTTTAAAACAATATGCTCCCAGTTTTTCCCTTCCATCATTTGTACTGTTATCATTCATTTTACTTTTACATGTAATAAGCAAACAATACACTCTAATGTTTTTGCTTAGATAGTATGCCTTTTGTTTATATAAAGTTTTAAGAGAACAAGGAATTTTTTTGCCTTTATTTATTCCATTTCTAGTGCTCTTAACTTCTGTGTAGATAGACCATTTTTTTGTGTGGTATCATATTCTTTCTACATGAAAAACTTCCTTTATCGTTTTTTATAGTATAGGTGTGCTAGCAAGGAATTCCTCCTTTCTTGTGAAAGTCTTTATTACTTCTTCAGGTTTTAGAAGATCTTTTGGCTAGGTATAGAGTTCTTTCCACACTTCAGAGATGTCACTGCATTGCCTTCTGGTTTGCCCATTTTCTGACAAAGTCTGCTGTTCTGATCTTTGTTCTTCTGTACGTCATGTACCTTTTTCGCTCTAGCTGCCCTCAAGATTTCTTCCTTCTCTTCCCCCAGCAGTGTGGGCATTATATGCCTAGGTGGTATGATTTTTTTTTTTTCCCTCCTCAGTGTTTTTATATCTTCTCCAATTTCTCTTTTTCTTTGGTTCCACTTATACCTATATTAAACTGTTTGATAGTGTTCCACAGCTTTGAGGTGTTCTGTTTTTTACAGGTTTTTTCTTTTTGCGTTTCAGCTTAGGCGATTTCTCTTGACCTGTCTGCAAGTTCACTGTTTGTTGACTCCGTTTTGTGTCATATACGGTTGGACTTGTTGAAGGCATTCTTTGTCTCTGTCACTGTGTTCCTCATTTCTAGTATTTCCCTTGGTTCTTTCTTATAGTTTCCCTCTCTCTGCTGAAGTTACCAATCTGATGCTGCATGTCGTCCACATTTTCCATTTGAGCCTTTTAATCATTGTCATTTTAAATCCCCTATCAGATGGTTCCAACATCTGTGTTGTGTCTGAGTCTGGTTCTGTTGCTTCTTTGACTCCTGGCAGTGTGTGGTTTCCTTGCCTTTCTACATCTTGTAATTGTTTGTGGGAAACTGGGCATCTCCTGTAGGATAGTAGACTGAGGGAAATGATTATTAAGCCTGGCAAGTTTGTACACCTGTCTCATGCTAGGCCTTCAGTGTGGGGAGTTTGAGTTCATTTTTCAGGTCTGGTGTTGAGCTGTGGTTGAGATTTTCTTGTTGCCTTGGTTACCTCCTGTGCCCCTCTGGCAGTGCCTGGGTCTGTGTGGAGTAGCTCTGTGGAGGCCTCCTGTACCGCCTTCTCCATCTTCACGTTTGGTCTTTTTCTTCCTGTAGCATCTCAAAGAGGGCCTGTCTTCATGCTCTTAACAGCTCCCAGCTGTATTCCACTCGCTGGTCCCTCCGTGCTTTGTAGCTGTTAGGGAGGGGAGGGGGAGTTGGCCAGGCTTCGCACTTGTTTCCATAAGCCTCAGTCTGAGGCAGACCCTGTGTCCCTGAGTGTCAGGGGTGTGGCCTTCCCCCTGCTCCCGCCCCTCCCCCAGGGCTAGTGTTTCTTCCCTTCCCTTCCCCTGTCTGCACTGACCTTCACCACCAGCGCTGCTCCCTCCCCAGCCCCGCCCCACATATTCAGGCTTCCGGTTCCTGCGGAGAAGGGTCCGGTGGGTTTGGGTTGCCTGCCCCGCCCCCTCCCACCGCTGCTGCAGCAGCTGTTCCCCTCACCCAGGCCTGCACCACGGGAGCGTGGCCTGGGACTCTCATCAGGCTCTCACGTCAGCTCCTGCTGGGGCTCTTGCAAGCCCCTCCCTCACCAGCCCTCTCTCAACCTCTACCAGCTCATTAAGGATTTTAGCTGAATTCTTCTTGCCCTGTCCAGCTGTGTCCGCCCCAGGTGAGAAAGAACTTTCCTGTCTCGCCCAGTGTTAGCCTCTCTGTCCTTAGTTTTCAGACTGGTTGGTGGCCCTGCAACCCCAGCTCTCTGATGGGTTCAAGCAAAGTCGTGATCTTGTAGGTTGTCCTGCGTTTATTGCTGTTTTTTTCGTAAGGGTGGGAATGATACCTTTTCCAGCTCTCTACGTCCTAAGCAGAAACTCCCTCTCCTGATTGTTTTTGAGTAATTCTCTCTTGTCTAAGAAGAGCGTTCGTTTTGAGAGGAGCCCTGGGTATTAGGTGGGCTGCCGTCTCAGCCCCATTGTTAACCCTGGGCGGCTACTCCGTGTCCTGTTACTGGTGCACAGCAAGGGTAGCCGACACACCCATCTTCTGAAGAACCAAAAGGCAAAGGAGCTGTGCGTGTAGTGACGCACAGTTGGGAAAACTCATAGTTTTTCCTTTTTAACAGCAGTGGGTAAATTTTGAGAAATTTTTTACTGGTTTCCACAAAGTGGCAGTATAAATATATATGAGATGTGAGAAACACAGTGATTCATAGGTTTTCACAAATCCGTGGTTTAAGCAGTTGGCTGACACGTAACAGTTCAGTCTTATCGTATCCTTTATACTCGTTAACAGCCATCTGTGTATGACCTAAGTCCGTTTTATTTTAGTGGAGGGTCCTCTAACGTTCTGTTTATTCAGGTTATTACTATTCTAGTTAAAAAGTTTTAACCTAAACTTTTTACACGTGATGCATAAAGCCCTATTTAGCTAATCTCTTAGTTTCTTAAGGTTTATTAAATAAAAGACTTAAGTGTGCTGCATGTGTTAATACGGTTAGTATGTTGACAGGTTGCACAACATAGAGACGTATTGACTAGTAAGTCAATGACCGTTTCTCTCACGTTTCACTGATACACACGTGAACGTCTATAATTTTTTTGTGGAGAGGAGAACATCCTGTGCTGCAAGCCCAGTTATTTCACCAGGAATTAATGAACATTCCTTTTTGGAGTAAAGGGAAATCAAAATTAGCCTTTAAAAGAAAGGAAATAGTCATATGTTTTTATTTTGACTGTTTCTTCCCTCCCACCAAAAAAAAAAAGAATAGAATAAACTGAGCTTGGTAATTTAATTCTTAGAATCCTAAAGAATTGGAAAGAAATCTAAGAAAATTAAGATGCATTTAATTTAAAACAATTTTTGTTTTCCTTTTGAGATTGTGTAGGTACTTACGACGGCTGTGTCAGCACTGTCCTGCCAGAAACACTAGTTTTGTCTGTTGGGTTGTTTTTTCTTTTTGGATCAAGAATTTATTTGCTCTTGTACTGCATTTTAATATTCACTGCTTTAGCCTCTTGACCTTTTGCTGGCTTTGGGGTTTAATATAATGAAAAAGTATAAAAAATAGAAGTAGTCTCTGAGGGTTTGGATGCCCTCTTCCATCGTCACAGAACAGACCCTTTAGATTTATGGGTTTTCCTGGCCAGGTATGTCCGTCTAATATTTGGTTAAGAATAGTGAAAAGGAAAATAAAAGAATGTAGGTTACCTTCTTTTGGGAAAAAGGTAACCCTAAGAAATAATAAGACGCCTCAGAATAGAGTTCATGGTTTCATTAACTTTGTGTGTGTGTAGATACCATAATGTTTATTTCTGCAGGAAAAATAAACATGAACAAAAACAAATCAATTATAAAATTGAAAAGGACAATACCATTGTAAATCCTAAATAACACAGCTAGAACTATACTTCATGTCAATTTTTATTAAGCATGGTCAATTTTAAAACGGTCAAATACTGGCAATTACATACGGTTCAATAAAATGTGAAGTGCATTATAGAGAACTTAATGGCATAAGATAAATTCCTTTCTTTTACTTCAGGTTGCCTTTTTCAGTTTCCCAGTTTCTAGATTGAATGATATGGCTGTTGACAATACTTAAGTTTTTGCAGTATAGAGAGAGAAAGAGAGAAAAAAAGATACAGAGAAATGGAAGCACAGTGAGACTAAATGATAGAGAAGAGAGACTGAATTTGTACTGGGCCTGAACCTGGTTCCTAGAGAAGCGGCTTTGAGCAGCGCCTGCTCTTGGACCAACCAGCATAGTCAGTGCCGGGGTGAGGGCAGAGCCCCTGCGGAACGGGGTCCAAGGGTTCACCCCTGCAGGCCAGAACAGAGTGGTGACCAGCACAGTGATCACTGACAGGTGGACAGATAGCCCAATAATCGTCCTCCAAGGATGTGAGCCCTGAGATAAAGAAGTAATATTGAAAATATTTAACATCAGGTAGCAATCAGTCAGAAATCAGACCCAGGTTGTGAACAGGTGGCTGAGCCATCCCAGTGCATTCCCCTGAAGAGTGTATGAGGTCCTCTCAAATATGAATATCACTATTCCCGGAGTTATTTATTTTGTGGACCTGGGCAGGTTTCATTAACTGTTGATGAGAGTTGCTTAAGGAAGGGAATGATTTGTAGAAATTGGAAGATAAAGATTTAACATTCAGAATTAAGATCAGAACAAATCAAAGGGTTTTATGTTTACGATCTCAGAAGCCCATCAATTATCCTTAGGCATCAGCTGAAATGACAGTGTGAGGTCATTGCCCACAGAGACCAATTCATATTTCAGACAGTGTTTCTAATTGTTAAGTGCTACTGCCTTGATTACTGTCAGATAGGAGTTTAAATGTCTTATAAGGTTATCAGAGGTTTGTGAATGTTTACCTGCCCCCCACAAAACAACCAAAAAAACCCTAAAACATATCCATCTTAGGCCCGAAGTGCAGAGTGAATACGTTTTGAACGGTCATTTTTACTGTGCTGTGGGTGGTGCTGGCTGGGCGTGGGGCGGAGAGAGATGTGCCTGGTGAAAGTCAGAACGAGCAGGAAGGAGAAAGGGGTCTGTAAGGGGGGTGTGGGCGGCCTCCCGTTGGCTGCCAGCCTGGGCCCGTGGTCAGGCCGGCCGCAGCACGGAAGAGGTGGGTCCTGTCGAAGAGCAGTAGTGGGGCTGTGAGAGAAGTGGGGCTCCCTACAGCCTGAGCCTTGATCTGCGGCAGAAGGGAGGGTCCAGGCTGCTGGTTTGCTCTCCGGCAGGCCTGACCAACAGGCACTCGGGCAAAGGTGGAAGATTTGCATATTGGAGGGTGGAAAGAACATAGCATTTGAAGTCAGAAAACATTTTGACCTTGAACCAAATTATTTAACCCTTCTGGGCTTAGTTTTCACATCATTTAGTTTCTCATTACAAAATAAGGATACCAGTCCTTGCTCTCCCGAGGGGACAGGGTCACGGGCAGATCTCGTGTGCATGTGCGCACTCTCAGCTGTTCTCTGTATGTGTGGCCAGGGCTCTGCATTTATTATATCCGGACTCAAAAAATAAAAAGGATGCTAGAAATGAACTGCCGTGATTACTAGTCTTTTTCAGTAACATAAATATAATCCATCGATCTACCCTACCGGGGAGATATTTTCAAAATAAACTGCAAACTTAAGAAATTTTTGTTAAGACAGTTTTGAAATGGAAATTCCCTCTAGAACTCTCCAGCTGAGAGGCACTCTTCACACAGAAGCTGCACATCATTTCAGCTAGACGAGGGGCAGTGCGTCCGTCTCCGGCAGTGCTCGCTCCAGGGGAGCAGTCCCGCAGTCGCTCTAGGTGTGTGCCCAGAAGCTGTACCGCGTGGCTTCTCGCCCTCGCCTGGCCCCACTGTGTTTTCTTCACAGCACGTCATCTCACAGTCTGTTCTCTTCACCGTCTCGACATGTCTTCCCCCAGCTCTTCCCTCAGTAGAATGTGGATTCCATGAAGGCAGGGGCTCTGGGTCTGTTTTGTGCATGACCACGAGTAGTTCCTGGTACATAGTAGGTAGTCGAATATTTATAAAAAGAGTAATAATCATTGGCTTTAATTGATGTTTGAAATAAATGTTTAAAAACAGGCCCATAAGCAGTCAATGGAGTCGGCATTAATAGAACACCTGCTTCCACCTGAAAAGTGATGACAGGGCTGCCCGTGTTCAGTTTTTGGATTTCTTTTACAGCTGTTGGTGGGCATCACTCTTTGCTTCATCTCCCTCTCTTTTTAACCCAGTAGTAACCTTGAAGAAGATGTAGTCCTCAGAACCAACAAGCAGATTTACTCCCAGCTTCTAAGAGCTACTGCGAACAAAAACGCATCTCTCCTGGAAAGAATCGACGTTCTCGTCCATTTGCTGGACCAGCTGGCTCGTGGCAGCGGCGGAGACGGTGGTGCTCTTCAGTGACTCCCGCCTGGGGCTGCATCCGCAGAGATGCTGTCAGTGCCTTCTGCACTCGGGGGCTAGTGTGTCCATTTGGTGCTTCGTTTCATTAAATATGAGGGACATATCCACTTAAAACAGGCACGGCATGGAAACAGAGTTCTCATTTCCCGTGGCAGACAGTCATGGTTGAGTTCTTTGGCTTCCTCGTTGGAGGTGCCAACATCAGAATCAGACCTAGAGCTCCCACCTTCGTTTCTCTGAGAAGCATGTGGTACCTCAGTATTAATAGACTTGCTGTGAGGCAGTTAACACTTTTAAATATTTTTGAAGTATGTTAAGCTACATGGGTTTAAGAGATAATTATCTTGGATAAATGTTACTTTGGTCAAGGGAACTTTTATCCAAATGATTTTAGTGGTTCAGGTCAGTTAAAGAAACTTCCTGTACATCCACAGTGTTCCCTTCTCAATTGCACAGAAAAAGCCTGCCCTTTTTAAGCTTCAGTACAGGATTTTTCGAAGACTAGCCATTGCACAGTTCTCTCTTCAGTGCATGTTCTGAACGGATCTGCTTTTCTCTGACTTTGTATGACAGTTGATCAAGAATTGGTACTCTCCCCCCCTTTTTTTTCATTTTAAACTTGAAACTGTGAATAAGGTAAGAAAACTATTTTGAATAAATAAATTATTTATTTAAAATGTCTTTGTAGTTTTCCATTTCACATTCTTCACATTGAGTTTTGATGTGAACTGGTTTAATTAATAAATTTTACAAAGTGAAGATTAAAACATCATTAAAAATAAAATTCTGCCATCCACTAAATTCTCACTAGAATATTATACTTACTACTTGCTGCTATATGGCTCTTGTCCAGTTGCTTAAAACATACTCTCTTTTTCCAGTGCCTACAGCATGCAAGGCTGTCTGTACTTGGCACAGTTAATTGATCTCAGTTTCAAAAGATACCGTAACCTACAGATCCAGCATACTCTGTGCTGTTGGGTTGATGGTTTGGATTTACATGCATGATGCCTCTGTAGACAAGAGCTTGCCCTGCCACCAAGTCCACTGGCCTGGCCTGAGTGTGGGAAGACATGCTGCTGCCGACCCCCTCGGTGCTACGTGCAGATGACTTTCACTGTGCAGCCCCCCCCCAACTCACTAGCCACACCCTTCTGAAGAAATATGAACTAGACTAGAAAACTGTCTGGAATAAACTTGTTTTTACAGACTCCTTTTTCGTACACTGAGATTTTCAGATGTTCACACTGGTGAGTTGGCAGCTCTCATAGCCCGGCAGAATGATCACTTGCCATTTGTCCACTTCCTTGTAATTATGCAGTTTGCATTGTCCTCGGGACAGATCTGCATCAACTAATCACTGAAGCATTGGAAGTTTTGCCTAAATTGTAAAGCAGTTGTACAAAATCAACGATGTCTCGTATCAGGACAGCTGTCATTCTGTTTCCCCTTGTGGCAAGCACACACACAGAATAAAACTCTTGTTAGTTAAACCCGGACATGTCCATTGATTATATCTAATTTGGGGGTTAATGAGTTCCAAAGGATATTCTACTTAGGCAGAAAGAAGCTGGAGTTCACGGTATTAGAGTCGCTCATCTTACCTCTCTCCTTAGCAAACAGCCTTTCAGTCAAGAGGAAGATGTGCTTTTAAGCAAGAAGATATCAATTCCAGCTCTCTTCATTTGTCAGAGCAATAACGTGAAAGTTCCTACAGGGGAAGAAAAGATCCTTTTAAAATGTTTTTGTCATTTGCTGATTTTAATTTAAATTAAAGCTTTTTAAAGTGCCTGTGTTTTAGCTGCGTCTTTAGAAGTATGGGGTATTTGTGGCCTGATCGTTGAGAGTTCTTTTTCAGTTTAACTTCAGTGCCCACATTTTGTCCTTATTACATATGACTTTGGGGGGGTTTGTTTACGTTAAGGACAGGTAATGGTGGCCATATTATGTATTATGTAAAAGTTAAAGGAGCATGATGGCTAAGATAACTGATACAGGAAAAATAAAGTTATCCAATTAGCTTCAAGAGTCTTATTTTGGTAGTCTAACCCTCGGAACATAAATAAGCTGCCATATAAAGTGTTTCCTGCCTTGAAGAGGGAGGAGCACATTATAGGAATTACAGCGAGCTGGAAAGCTGTTCTGTTCAGGGCCATTTGGGATGCAGGTGTGTATATTCAAACAGAAGAGCACCACGTGAAAGGAGAGAGTGCAAGGGCACTAGGCTGGGATGAGGAGAAGCAGGGTCAGGAGCGACTGGCGGTCGACCTTTGGCCAGAGACACAACTGGGGAACTTCAGTTTCTTTATCTAGAAACGTGCACAGCAGTATCTGTCCCGCCACTGACAAGAGTTGTGAAGAGCAAGAGAGAAATACACATGAAAACCTTTTGTACACTGTCAAGTATTAGAAAAAGATAAATTGTTAGGACAGGGATTTTGGAGTGTAGTTAATTCAAATTCTGTGCTCTTTCCCATTGAATCCCTGAGTTTTCAGTGCAGTAAAATCATTTCCATGCCCTTGGGGTTCAGGGGGTGAGTGGCCTCTCCCGTGATTGGACCCATGGCTATGGCTGCCTTCCTGTCTCTCGGTGAAATTGGGGCCGAGGTGGGTGGAGGGACAGACGGTGGGTGTTGGGAACGTGGCTACAGAGTCCTAGACAGTGGAAGGCAGACAGGTATTCCTCAGGATGCTTTTTCTAACCTTTCCTAAAATTTTTGTAAAATTATTTGTTGAGAAATTTGATTTTCCAATCAAGTAATTTAAAAGCTCAAGTAATGCTTTTCCCATTGGGTTTTAAGTTAAGGAGGCATATTTGCTTCAGTTACTAAAAATCTGGTTTGTTTTCTTTATAAAAGAAATCGGACTTTTTCTCTTAGAAATCCTCTGGCTCTCCATTTGCCTATTTTTCTCATTACGAGTTCAGGATGCAGGAATCAACGTCACAGACGTCAAGCCACTGCTCTGAGCTAGACTGCTTGGGAAATAAGCCACTTGAAGGCAGCCAGGAATCTGTTGTTTGTCCCTGCTATTGACAACTTTCCAGCACGTGCTGCCTTTGCAGAAGGCAAGCGGTGAGTGCAGGAGTAGTCAGCTGAGACTACATTGACAGAATGGCTTTGTGCCTCTATTTCCGGAAAAAACCTTAATAATCTTCATCGGATAAGGGTCAAGGACTTGATTTCTATTCACATCGATGCAAACACTTGCAAAGCAAAGTTAAGACTGGCTTTTCTGGAAGTCATTGATTTTTAGGTTAATTTATAGCAATGAGGTAAGCAAATCTGTGGCTTTGCACCAAATATTTTGGGCTTGAAGTTCTTAATAATTTTCTGTATGATGGGATGATCTGCCATGGCCATATATATAGGTCTGCAGTAATTGAAAACAGCTTTTAACTAAGAACTTGGTCATCTGACAAATTTCAGTCAAGGATGACAGAAGCAATACCAGGCTGGAAAGCCTTCTATTACGAGGGACCCTTTGAAGAAGTAAATGAACTGCTTTCTTCGGTCATAAAAGGCATCGTCCAGGGACTTGGGATGCCAGGAAATCCTTCTGAAATCAATCTGGGGCAGCTTCTTCCCTGTTCATCTTCTGTCTAGGCCTGGTCCTTGTCACTGTCATATCTCTGGTATTGATTTTCTGAGAGCCAAACAAGTTTTAATGTGTTCTATTACCATTAAGTCACAGGAAACGAGAGAGACAGCTTTCAGTGTGGGCCCCAGCCATCCGTGCTGTTCTGCCATGATTCCAGGAGAAAGCAGGACTTGCAGCATCCATCCGAGAGGCCTCTGCTCAAAGCAACGACTCCCCAGGCCTTGAATCACCTCTAGATTTAACCCCAGGAGTCGATTTCTCTTTCACATCTTCGCTGCAGCTCCCAGCCCACTGGTGCTCATCAAAAGCAAAAACAGAACAACAAAAACCGTGCAGTCTTCTTCACATCAACATCTCATTTTTCTTCTCCTTCCTTTATAGTCTCAAGATTTTCCTTTTACATGTTAGGGGCCCGTGGATTGTCCCAAATCATTTTCCTATCCTAATTAATATATCCTCTCTTTTTAAAGAAAAACATCATGATGCTTATTATTGGATTCTTCTTTATCCCAGAGCTTTAGAATCATCTAGTTCCACCACCAGCCCCGTTTTTGCAAATGAGGAAACTGGAATAGAGTTGAAGCAATTCACCCTGATTCATACAGCCTAGGTTGAAGCAGGGATACAGCCCGGGACTCCCAAATTTTACCCAGGTGACTTTACCCACTGTCCTATGAATATTTTGTAATTTTGCTTCATTTCATTTTAAGATCCAAATGCTAATTTCATGCTCTGAAACAGTGTAGGATTATTTTAAGCGGTCCTTATTTGTTCCTTGCCCTGAATATTTGGTATATTGTCGGTGTGCAATAGAATAAATCCACTGAGTTAGATACTTTTGAGGTCACAACGCACAAAGCATCACAAGCAGTTACATTCCTTAGCAACCAAATATTCAATATATTTGAAAGGTTTACCACTGAGAAGAGTGTGACATGTCTGGCTAAAGGTATGATTCACTCCAACTGGAATGATTTTTGAATTTAGAGTATTCACAGCAAGTTAAATTTAAGATGTTTTTTAAAGCTCCAAGAATGAAATACAGCTGTAATTATAGAAACCCCCATGATGACCTAATTCTGTAATTGAGATTCTTTGAGTGTTCCCAATATAAATTCTGGACTTCTTAAGGCACAGAAAGATGTGCTTACAACTCCGAAAGATCCGAACCATCAAAGTCCGCTCTGAGGCCATTTCTTTATGTCACTGAACTAATTCCTCCTCTGTGTGATGTGAAGGAAAAGGACAACCGGATTCATGCACAGGTCTCTTATGGCAACAGTTGTGTGCAAAGTTCTTTCAGCTTGGCTCCGGCCTCAACTCTTTTCGAGCAATTTAAAGAAATGTGGTCCTACTACTAGGATTCAGGCCGAGGGAGGGCCCACGACTTATTTCTGGGCGGCCAGAGGAAGGAAAAGCAGCAACCACAAAACTGTGTGTGTGATTAGACTGTGTGCACCTGGTCTGCACAGGTGGCCAGCCTCCGCCCCGGGCATGGAGGCCGGGGAAGGCCCCCGGCCGCCTTCTCTGTGTCACCGCAGGCTCCACCTCAGCTTCTGTCTCCCGGCCAAACACTGCCCCTTCCTGCTCAGAAACTGCCACTGATCCTGGTCAGTGAAGTCCCCCCGACCCTGGTGTTCCATGCACCCAGGCTGGCAGGTCTCTCCAGCCCGGCCTCAGCTGGGGTGAGGGCCCTGCCGCCCCTCCCAGGGCGCAGCTGTCTCGCAGCTGCACCTCATTCCTGCTCAGCTCTGAGGCCCTCCTTCTGCTTCCTGAGTCTGTACCCTGGCCTCACCTCCCAAGACAGACTGAAGAAAAAGAAAAGCATCTGACCTACCATTATTGTGCCTGAAAACTTAGCAATAACCCTTTAATCTTGTCACATTTACCCAGGCAGCATTCACACTTTCAACTGTGTTCTCATTCTTTATTAAATTTGAAATTAGCTTTTGATCAGAAGCTAAAAACTTTCTGTAAAACAAAAACTAAGAAGATGAAGGGCAGAATAAAATTATGTAAGGTGTCGCGCCGGCATCTTGTACTTCCCATGTGACTCTGATATGCGACATTTACACAGAGCCAGAGAGAGACCCACGCCTGTGCCCGTGAGGTCCACTTTGCTCCCCTCCTGCCCCTGGGCTTCCGTAAGGAGCCCTCGTGTAGCTAAATGAACCCCCTCGTCTAGTGGAACTGGCTTGGCAGGCTCTCCATACCTTGTGATCAGAGAAACGTGACCAGAACCAAACTCTAGCTTCTTCTCACCGCACGGTACGTTATCGATGTCAGTATACAGTTCTCAACTATACTGTCAGTTGTATGCTCTCTGTATAACATAGATAACCATACATAGAACTCTGACATGTATGTCAATTGTATGTTTTATATATATAGTCATTTATAAAACTATGTATATAGTTATAGGGACTTCCCTGGTGGTCCAGTGGTTAAGACTCTGTGCTTCCAGTGCAGGGAGCATGGGTTCAATCCCTGGTCAGGGAACTAAGATCCCGCATGCCATGTGGCACAGCCAAAACAAACAAACAAACAAACAAAAAACCAAACTAAAATTATGTATCAATATATAGTTATATATATCAACTATATGTCAGTTATATTTATCAATTTACTTAATCAGATCAATATATGTCAGTGAACACAGATCTGAGTTGTGATAAGTGGCTACATAGTGTCCACCATGTGGCCATAACTCTTGGGTCTAAGGACACTGACTTCCCACCACGTGGCAGGGTTTTTCTTCCATCTTTTTATCAAAATCTCAAACTATGTTTTGATTAGAAGACAAACCCTAAATATTTTCTCTGAGGGAAACCAGAACCTGCAAAGCTGCAAAACTTAGAACAAAATGATGCACAAATTTCATCCGGACATTCTGCACTTCCTGGGAGGCGGAAATCAACCTAAATGCAGGACAGAACTGAGACGTCTGTGATTGGGAGCTGGTGTTCTGAAGGCTGACATCTAGACATTCTGCATTTCCTGGGAGGCGGAAATCAACCTAAATGCAGGACAGAACTGAGAAGTCTGTGATTGGGAGCTGGTGTTCTGAAGGCTGATGTCACACAGCCTGCGTCCCGACGGGTCTCAAAGCCCCAGAACCTGCCTGTCCCTCCCTTGAGCTCTGGCGGAAGACGGCACATCTGGAAGTCAGGTCTCCCTCTAGATGACAATGAGATCCTTCTTAGGATCATAGGAGCAGGGGATTTATTACTGAAGGGTCTTGTTCCCTACAATTCATTTTATTTTAAATTTATTTTTATTTGGTTTCATGCAGCTCAGGACGCCTGGACTCAGGGAGGTGTTGCTTACCATTCGAATTGTTGGCTTTTCTCAGGGAGTTACTTCTCTCCCCTCCAGTGATTACCGAGCCTTTGAAGGGACTGGCTTCTCAAGGTTCAGGGTGTTTGATTAACCAAATTGCTTATTCCAGGTAAATTGGATTTTGAGGAAATCAGTTGGATTTCAGAAGAAAAATAGCTGAGGGAGGCGTGTGACCTACGATAAAGAGAGAATCAGGGAGAGGGGCTCCTGGCGAAGGTGGCTCCTGGTCTGTCTGTGCAGGACACTCTCCACCTCGGAGCTGGGGGAAGGGTTTGACGGGGAGCTTCTAGAATTTCCTTAAATACTAAGCTGGCATGACCTACTTGTCATTGGGAGAACTGACATTTTTTTTTCCCCTAAAACACATATCATTTACAAAGTGGGTTTGCACATTCTCAGCATTGCACACACAACATTTTTGAAAAAAAAAAAGACATTCCCTTAGTTATTCCCACAGGAGATTTTTAAGCCTGACTCTGAAAGTGAATATATCTCAGGAGGCCCAGGGTCTGGGAGCGAAGCCACTGGCTCAAATGTAGGTCTGTCTGATTTGCAACTGCGCGTTACTGCCTGTGAGAGGGGGAGAGAGAGTCCTCCCACCATGTGTCCTTCTGACTTCCTTCTCTCTAGACTTCGCATTTCAGTCCCTTTTCATCCACAAATACACCCTTTACCCACCCTGGCATTTCAGTCCCTTTTCATCCACAAATACACCCTTTACCCACCCTGGAGCAGCTTAGGAAGGTTTATCCACGTTTTACACGCAGAAGGCTCTGTGGTTGGGCTCGCGCCCTCCGCTGAAGGAGGCATGTTGAGGTCGCTAAGCGGCTGGGGCACGGTGAGGGCACATTCACTGCCCCCAGCGCTTCTCTGCCCGGGTGTGTGCTTAACGTCAGGATGGTAACTGAGAGGCTTGACTTCAAGATTATGGTCACCATGGTCGGAGGCTTACTGATCGTTGCAAGCCTGCTGATGTGCTGTGTCATCTGTCTTAGCTGCAGAGTGACTAGGGCACTGAAGTGAGCAACGAGGGTAAGAGTGGCTAACAACCCCCCCAAAGGGGATCCTGGGGCTCTGTGCTGAGCGGGGTCATCCCGTGCCCCGTGGCCGCACCCCGGGTGAGGTCAGGAACAGCGGGAGAGTTTGAGACGACAGAGGCAGTGCGTGTAGTAGAATCCTGGTTTCTTCCCCTTCTGGTTTGGGGCTGTGAGCTCATAAGTAGAATGTTCTCAGCCGGGTGGTTCTGTGCTGCTTTGCTGTCACTTGGCCTCATTGAGTTTACCCTCAGCTGGCTAATTCCACAGCACTGCAGACTGAAGACTGTGTGAATGCGTCTCTGCCTCTGTTCACCCAGAGGACGGGCCGAGCTGACCTCCTCTTGCCTGAGTTGGGGAGCTCTCGGGGTGTCCTCTCACTCGTGGCCTTGGGGACGGGGAGGGGGGCCTACAGGACTGGGGAAGCTGAGCGGTGTGGAGCTCCTGGCTGACCTGGCCGTGGGGTGCAGGTCAACATCGTTAACTTGCAGCTCTTTCCAAAATGTTTTTCACTTTATCTGGCGCCGAGGAGCAATTTTCCAGGAGGTAAAGTGAACGTTTCCAGTTTGGGGAATTTAAACCTGTGAGGGAGATGGGACCCCAGGAGCCCAGTCTGGCGGCCGGCGTGCTGCCTGCCCTTCTCGCCTGCACCTCCTGCCTGGAGCTGGCACACACCAGGCACTGATGGTCAGACCGGTCAGCCCTGGTGCCACGTCCCTTCTCATTTATAAAATGTTTGGGGAGGAAAGGATTGGGTCAGGATTCGGGAGAGGGGCAGAGAGGTATGATCGAGGGCTGAAGTCACATGACACCATTGCCCAGCCAAGAACCTCTGACAATTGTAAGAAATGGATTTAAGGGAAAAAAAAGAAATCTAATTTTTTAAATAAAATCTCTCAAGGAAAATATGACAATCAAAGACACTGACACAAAAGGCAGGCGACTCGGTTTCGAAGACGGCCATCCTGGTACTCCACTGTCAGGCTCCTGGCGACAGAGCCTCGGAGAGTGAAGCTGTGGACCGCCCCCCTCTCCCGGCCACAGTCCTGCCGAGTGAAGTACAGACCAGCTCTGCTGAGCTCAGCTGCCTCCCGACTTTGTCCCTTCACAGTGTTTGCAGCCCCTTGAGGGCAGGAGCCGTGCTGTCTCTGACCCCCAGGTTCCCAGCACGTGGCCCAGACTCATTAGGTGTCAGAGGTCATGACCCGACATCACCTTTGCACCAGATAAACCTCTCAGACACAGCAGTAAATCCTGAATGGCATTATTTGGCTTATTGTTAAGAATATGTTACACATTAGAATTTTTAGTAAAGTGATTTCCTGCTAGTTTATTTTCTAAAAAAACCATATACATCGCAATGTTTTTATTTTACCTTCCATTCACAATTAACATAATTGCATCAACATTTAACCTAATAGTTGGCACAGAGCCATTATTTTAACTCCTTAGGTGAGTTATTACATGTAACTAATGAGTTAAAGCATCTAAAACTTGGAACAGCGCCCGAGAACGCATCCCATAATTATGAGCTCAGCTCTAAGGTCCAAAGGGAACACCTTCAACTCACTGCTGACCACCCCAGGCCCGAGGCCCAGCACTGGTTCGGCGCGCAGATTCCCGCACGATGCTTTACTCTCTTCCCAAAGGTCTTCCTGCACCAACACTCGGCGGCACCGGCTGGGGTGGGCGCACAAGAGCCCACGTAAAGAGCGAACGCAGAATATGGCGAACCCTCTACAGCACCTCTGTTCAATGTCTGCTCCCTGATCTGTCCTCTCCCACCTCATGTTCTGTCCCTTCTGATCTTCAGGAAGGACACAGGAAACTTGGGGCTGGGGGCTCTATCAGGGTCGTGTGGAACTCGTGCCTCATGCCGGCTCCACAACCTCAAAGCTAACCCTTCCCAGGCTGGACCTGTGCCTGTCGAGCTCCTGTCCTGAGGTTGCCATTCACTCTCTCCTACCAGCCCACAGACAACGAACCGGCAGAACTCTGGGCCTTAGGAGGAACTGTCAGCCTCTGGGAAGGGGTGAGCAGAACCACGTGTGGCCTCTCTGGGTTTAACTTTCCAGAGCTGAAAGTTACTGAGACGCTGCCTTCTGCCGTCCCCAGTATCTGCAGAACCAGGGGTCCTTCCCCAGTCACTTTAAAACTCACGTTTGCCTACCCAGCCCTCACGTTCTAAACTGCTAACAGGAGCCCCCAGCCCAGCTGCCAAAGCCCAGGTTCCCCACTCACAGCGACGGCCAGGAAACCTGCACCTTCGATGCCTGGCTCACCTCCCTCTGATGGACTGAGTCGGCAGCAACCCTTCCAAATCCCAAACTGACCTCCATCTTTCCAAATCTGCCCCGCCTCTCCTTAAACCCTGGTCACCTCCTCTCCAAAAGGTCACTTCAGGCTGCCATGCGGATGAAAGACATTTAGCAAATCCTTGTCGCCTGTGCCCAGCCCCGCTCTCACCCTCCCTGGGCCGCCTCCCGCCCCTGCCCCCGTGGGGTGATGCGGCCCCTCTTCTGCAGCCCACGCACCCCTTCTCACCTTTGTCTCCCCGCCCGCCTCCAGCCGGGTTTCTCGTCTCCTCCTCCACTGCCCGGCGCCTGTTTCGTACTTCTCCAGCTTCTAGACTTGACCGGGGACTGCACCCTGCCCAGGTGCGATGGTTTTCAAACGTGGTTGCAGATGGGAACCACCTGGAGGGCTTCTGAAACGCCTGCTGCTTGGGCTTTGCCCTAGGAAACAATTAAGTAGAATGGGGGTGGGCGAAGCAACTCCCTTTGTAGAAGCACGTCACGTGGTGCTCATGTGCAGCCAGAGTTCCTGATTCGTGGTCTAACCTATTTCACTTTGATAATACAGAGAAAAACGTGTGTATAACGCAGCGCTCTCCGAATTATTTTACGCAATCCTCCAGGACAAATGGCCTCCCTGTGCGACCAACGCCACGATCGGTTATAGGACACACCCGTGGCCCCACAAGTTCCCTCTGGCCCGCACCCTGCATCCCCCTGGTCTGTGTCGGGCCGGCACTGCACTGCACACAAGCACTCCTCCCAGTCGGCTAACCCAGTCAGTCCTTCTGTGGAGCTCTCATCCCCACGAGGTCCCCGTTCCATTTCTGATTGGTCTGTGGCTCATCCCAACTGGGACCACAAGCTCAGACTAGCAACGCTGCAGGTTTTCCTATTCCCTTCCTACAGGGTTCACCACCTTGCACTGAAAAAACCCTGGTTTTCTCCTCCTGCCCGAATCTAGGGTCCCAGCAGTGGGTGCACAGGGATGAGGGGCATCTCTAGGCCACGAGGCCACTCCCGCTGGTCTGGCCCAAAGGGCGGGTTTTCAAGAATAAACGCTTCTCGATTTGTCGTCTGACTCAGGTCAAATTCCAGAGCCCTGAAATGGTTGTTTGTAACCATTTTGTCCAATTCTACCTTTGTTTTCCACTGGAGAAGATGAGCCTCCCCCTCCCGGCCCTCGGTCCTGCACATATTCAGTGATACGGTGAGGCACGCACGTGGCTCCGCCCCAGGTCAGAACAGATTCCCTCTGCTTCCTGCGCCAGCCACACCTCTGGTCTCAGAAGGGTTCTGAGGCCACGGCACTGGCTTCAATCCTTGAGAATAATGGAAAGAAAAGGAAACAATTACAAAGGAAAGGAAAACTATGTTCCTTGCACTTAGTAAAGTAACAAAGCAGACTCCCGTGGTTCAGCATTGTTAAAAGGATTTTTATACATAGCTTTATAATTTTCAGTTCTGCTCATAATGCTAAAGGTTTGTGCTTGCAACTCTGCCTTAGCCAAAAGTACAGAAACCACCGTTTCTATAGCAACTTGACCTTGCCCTGACCCCCAAGCACGTGATCAGGGGACCGGCTCACCCAGTCTGGGCATCATCGACCCCAAAGGACAGTCTTTTATGGGACCCAGCAGGCTGGGCTCTGGGCCCTGGGACCCTTTGCTGCAGTGCTTGCACCTGGACAAACGTCTCCTTGAGCAACAAAATACAAAGAAACTATAAGGGACTAAAAATAACTGTGTGCATGTGCCGTTGGGGCAAATTCTGGGCAACGAGATACAAAAAGACCCCCAAAACCCAACTGCCATTTCTGAAGAGCCGGGAGCAAAAACAGGGTACTGCGCATGCCCCCTGCACTCAGCACCACCAAAGTGGTGGGCAGGCCACCTAAGGCAGCCCTGCAGCCCGACCCCTGACACACCCCTCCCCTGCCCCCATGTCAGGAACAGACGGCCGCCCCCCCGAGCTAATGCCCATCTGACGCGAGGTGGTGTATGAGCGTCACCGGTCCTGGTCTACGTGCTGAGCGCACAAACCCCTGCTAAGTTCATCCTGGTTCTGTCACTCACTCGCTGTCCCTTAACTTCCTGAGTCTCCTTTTCTTCACCAGACAAATGGGAATACTAGTGACATCTACTCCCGAGGGCTGTTCACGGGAATGGACATCAGAGAGGCAAAGCCCCTGCACGGGGCTGGAGTCGCTCAATAGAAAACGCCTTCCAACGGGACCCGCCATGTGTGGGGAGCACAGGGATCTTTCCTACCACAAGCTCACGTGACTGACAGACAGACACGGGTTTCATTCAACCCAGCTCAGAAGCCAGGCCAAGCTTATAAAAATGGGAATAAAGCTCGGGGACGGATTCCCGAAACCTCCCTGCAGGCCCTGCATCTGCACGGGAGCCCCTCGAAGTAAATCAGCCTCCCCAGCCTCTGGGAAGCCCGGCGGACTGATGCGGTTTTTCTGTCTCTGAAGGAAAGAAAGCCTCTCTGTATTCGAATTACGTTGTCCACAAAGCAGGAATTTCGAGGTCCTGTAAGATGAATAAAACTCCTTCACACACAGCAAACTTTATTATTCATACCAGGTTTGTCAGTTCTCAGAACGTGGGCGCCAAACACAGCTTTGCACTGAAACCACAGACAGCAAGTAACAAGGCACAGTCAGCAGGCGTGGCCAGTGCACTTTATTTGATTTCCTTCTGCTGCCACAGGAGCCGCGTGCGCCGGGCGGGGGTCCGAGCTGGACTCCACGAAGGGACGTCAGGCGCACGTGGGCCTGACGCGGCCCCGGGTCCCGGCCCAGCCTCGGTGTTGGCGGGGGCTCCCCCGGGCGCGAGGCAGAAGTGTGAGGGGGCGGTTTCCCAGGAGCCCCTGCCCGATGCCCGGCTCCACCGGGACGTGGTAGCACCTGGCCCTGGGCCCACAGGGGCAGCTCCGCCCAGGGAGGGCGCCGGGGCCTCTGACTCAGCATCCATGGGACTGGAGCGCCGTCCTGATGCCCGCGGCCAGGGCTTGCGGCGTGGGGCTCTCTGCGGTGCAGCTCACGGGCAGGCCCTGCGCGGCCAGGGCGTGGGCTGTGGTGGGCCCAATGGCCACGAACTGCAGGGAGAAGACAGAGGGGCCTCAGTGCACCCGCAGGGGGCGATGGGAGCAGGGCCTGTTGCCTCCTGTTAGGACATCGCTCCTTACGTGAGAGCTTATAAACGAGATGACACCTCCTGATGTGATCCCAGCTCTACCACCTGCAAAAAGCCTCAGTCTCTTGACAGCCTCACCATCGGCCTGAGCGAGCTCCCGCTAGCCCTGCGGCCCGGGCTTGGTGGGGGGGGGGGGGGCGGGGGTGGGCAGGAGAGGCCTGGAATCAATCAGCGCCTGCCACGGGCGGGGCCGGGTGGAGCACAGAACAAAGTCTGAAAGGGGCTCTGCGTGCAGCATGGGGCGGTGGCTGGGCCCTGGGAAAGCAGAGCGGTCAGGACCAGGGCCCAGAGCCAGAGGGTCGGGTTCACATCGCAGCTCCACAGGACGGTGGCCTCAGCAAGTGACCTGCCCTCTCTGGGCCTCCGTCCCCTCCTCCGTGAAGCAGAAAGGTTAAGAGGCTTCCTCCTCAGGCTGCTCTGAGGATTAGATGAGCAATGCGTGTAACCACCCGCATGGCCCCGTGCCTGGCACAGACAAACGCCCAGTGACCGTCAGCAGCTGCTACCTGTAGGACCATCGTTATCCCAGATGAGAAGCTCCAACGGCCTGGGCCTCGTCAGCAGGACGCCCCTCTCCAGACAAGCTTGTGTCTGAAGGTCCCATCCAGAGCCTCACTTTGGGCTGAACAGGATTTTTAGTTGTGACTCTGGCCCTCGCTAGCTGTCATTACAAATCACTTAGCCTTTCTGATCCTCAGTTTCCTCATCTGTGAAAGGGGCACAATTGCCCTGCCTCTCAGTGGCCAGTGCAGGGGTGAACTGAGAAGATCGACAGCTTCTGGCAGAGAACGTGCTCATCCCCACGCCCCTCTGGACTAACACCGTGGACATGGACCCGCCTGGGAGTGGTCTGTGAAGGTGAGCCCCCCGACAATGGCAGCCCCTGCCCAGCACCCCCTTCACCCCCCTCCCCAGGCAGGCTGGCGGTAGTGTGAACAAGATACCGCCCTTGCACAACCTCAGGATGCTGTGGCCTGACACTCCTCCCCAGCACGTGTGGTAATGAGGGGAAGGAGGCTGCTGTCTCACAGAAGCTCGGGCTCCTGTAGCTCCCACGCTCCCCCCCATGAAGCAGCCACCCCTCAAGAAACTCCCTGAGGAAAAAAAATGAAGCTGGACCCCTACCTCACATCATAACAAAAATTAACTCCAAATGGATCAAAGACCTAAATGTAAGAGCTAAAACCATAAAACTAGAAGAAAACATAGGAGTGGATCTTCAATGACCTTGCATTAGGCAATGTTTTCTTAGATACATGATGAAAAGCACAAATAATAAAATAAAAACTAGATAAAGAAAACTTTTGTGCTTCAAGGAACACCGTTAAAAAAGTGAAAAGACAACTCACAGAATGGGAGAACGTTTCTGCAAATCACATATCTGATAAGGGACTTGTATCCAGAAAAAAAGAACTCTTACAACTGAACAAAAAGGCAACCTAGTTAAAAAGTGGCAAGGATGTGAGTAGACATTTCTCTAAAGAAGATATAAAAATGGCCAACAGCACATGAAAAGATGCTCAACATCACTAGCCATTAGGGGAATCCAAACCAAAACCACAAGAAACTCCTTCTGGTATATTCATAGAATGGACTGTTACCTGGCAATACAGAGGAAGGAAGTACTGACACATGACGGTATGGGTAAATCCTGAAACCATTATGCCAACTGAAAAAAGCCAGTCTCAAAAGGCTATATACGGCATGATTCCATTTATATGAAAAGTCCAGAATAGGTAGATCTGCAGAGACAGAGATTGGATTAGTGGTTGCTAGGGGGTTGGGGAGTGACTCTAATGGATATGCGGTTTCTCTCATGGCTCTGAAATGTTCTGCACCGAGAGGGTGATGGTGGCACGCCTCTGTGAATTTACTAAAAACCACTGAATTGTACACTTTAAAAGGGTACATATGTAATTCATAAAAAGTGAGTTTTATAGTATGTGAATTATATCTCAATAAAGCTATTTTTTAGGGAATTCCCTGGTGGTCCAGTGGTTAGGACTCTGCGCTCCCACTGCTGAGGGCCCAGGTTCACCCCCTGGTTGGGGAACTAAAATCCCACAAAGCCCTGCAGCACGGCCAAAAAAAAAAAAGGCTGTGTTTTTAAAAAAGAAACATTAAAAAAGAAAGAAAGGTGGTCTTTTCTCCATTGTATATTCTTGCCTCCTTTATCAAAGATAAGGTGACCATATATTCGTGGGTTTATCTCTGGGCTTTCTATCCTGTTCCATTGATCGATAGTTCTGTTTTTGTGCCAGTACCATACATACTGTCTTGATTACTGTAGCTTGGGGGAAAACTGGACAGCTACGTGTAAAAGAATGAAATTAGAACACTCCCTAAGACCATACACAAATATAAACTCAAAATGGATTAAAGACCTAAATGTAAGGCCAGACACTGTAAAACTCTTAGAGGAAAACATAGGCAGAACACTGTTATCACATAAATCACAGCAAGATCCTTTTTGACCCACCTCCTAGAGAAATGGAAATAAAAACAAAAATAAACAAATGGGACCTAATGAAACTTAAAAGCTTTTGCACAGCAAAGGAAACCAT